AATGCACAACAATCTCCTTCAATGATTCAGAAAACTATGCTGTGGGGGCTCCAAATCCCTAACAGGGCATTCCCTCAGGCAGACGCTGATTGGTCAATCAGCAGCATCCCTCTACTCTCATTAACATACATGCTAATTGGCAACTACATAAATACATACGACCTACATTACAGAAAACAGAAAACATAGGCAGCAAGGCAAACTCATTGTATATAAACTATAGTTTAATATTAAAATATCAAACTATCATATTATGTGTGCGCATATCATTCGTTTACTGAAAAAAAAGAAGGAATTTGTTTCAGCCAATACATGTATTAATCAGCGTATGAAATAAAAGTCACAGTCCGTAATTGTATACGTAACCACTATGATTGGTTTCTGATTTGATTGGTGTATTTTATAGCAAAGTTAAAGTAATACCGATATTGCATTTTTGACATCCTATAACTCTTGAAATCAAGGAAGCGGATAAAATTTAGCATGGTTCATAACTCAGAAAATTCCATAACCTGTCCCTTCTCTATTAAGATCTTCACAGTGAAGGGTTCTGAAATCGTTAAAACAAACATACTGATAAGACCGAAGTCTTTGTAATAAGTAGGGTGTTGGATTTAAGTCTAGTCTATTCACATTGGATGACATATATATCTTTATCGGTGTCCTTAAATAGTCACCCGGGTTGGCACAGGTTACCCAACAAGATCGCGTGCAGTGAAGCATCGACTACATTCGTTCCTTGACCAGAACGGACAGGTAAACATAAAAATAGACTTAAGGAACCCCGTGCCACTTCTAAAAACAATAATTGTGCGATGGACACTTCCTTTTCCGACATGACTGTAGCTCTTAAGTTGAATTAATTTATGACAAAAAGCCACATCTTGCGGGACTTTCGTGAAAAAATGATAATTAAGAACAACAGTTTTCTGAGTGTAAACGTTTTAAAAGCGGGGCTAAACCGGACTTCAAACCCCAGATTTCAGACAGATATATATTCTGTCGCTCTAACCGACTGAGCTACCTCGTTAACGGAAGGTCCCGGCCCGGACTGCGCTATACAGCTATACTATGTCTAATATACAAAAACAGAACAGAACAACGGGACAGGGATCCTTAATAATATTAAAAGAACTGGTCCGTTTTCGTTTATCTCGGTTCAAACGGTTGAACCGGTTTGACCAGATTTGTTCGTTTATGAAATAAGGTCGGTCTCAGTAATCTTATGCTGTTTTCAGTCGAGCCTTGACACTGTATAAAATGTTCAGGTTCGCCGGGATTTAAACGATGCAGCGATACAATCGGTTTAGTACATCCATCATATAAAAATGCAATATAAATGCTCTAAAATAGAAATATAAATATTCAGAAATTCATCTTTTTATATAAGTCACATGACAGTGATATCATTACTTTGGTGTCAAGTGTAATGAAATATGCCATGGTATGAATTCATGCAAATCAACATTAAAATATTATGCTAATGCATCGTTAATAATCTGTCATGAATTAGTGAATGATTTTAAAACCTTCATCGAATAAACTAAAATATACGTCTATTACATATGTACCTGTAACAATGCTGTAGTGTGAAGGGAGCGTCTTGGTAGTGAAAATGCTGTCGACATATTCTGCCCTCACGCCATTTCGTTCCATTTTGTCAAAGTTGGGGGTATTCGCTTTCTCGGGATAGTCGTACCTGAATCCGTCCATTGACACGAGCAATACTTGCTGGGTGTATTTCCTGCAAGATCTTGGTGTTACCTCATTGATGAAGACAGCTACTGATAATGAAATAATGAGGACTGAACACCCTGTCATGACGGCGTCTATAAGACACTAACGTACAAACTAGTCCGATGCCTTACCGAGCGGAAACCAACATGAGCAGGCTAGCAAACCGTATAATATAGTAAACGGGGTATTAACAGCTAGTGGGGTACTTCAAGTAGAACACACATGTTTATATATACACAGAGGTATGCGTTCAAATGTTGTGTGATGAATATGAACAACCAGAAAATCAATATAACTGATGGACCATGCTCCCGGTAAATGAAACCAAGACTTTAAGATCTTGAGCCTACGGACGCAGTAGTGTTACATTTGTAGGTCACACTGCCCTGTGCATAACCTAAAATTGTATTGAGTTATAATTGAATGTTTACATTTGCATGGCATTGTTACTATATAGCCTCTTTGAAAGCTGTGTCGTTGATGGGACTTTAATTACCATGCATCACGAGACACAATTCTTAGCGTATTAATACAACACTGACCGGAACTACAATATCCTTTATAAATAAACATGACCGCTGCTGAAATATCGCTGGGCATTGTGAGATTTGACAATGTCATTGTAAATTTATGTGCAAAATAAAAAATAAAATAAAAACACTTTTGTTACAACGAAAACAAGACCAAGGTCTGCAATATCGTACAAAATGCATATCGGTTGAAATCACCAATGCCGGCAATGGAAACAATTTTAACGCTCATGCAATTTATCAGAAATATCGTCTGTTACACTGCACTGATCAACAGGGGTTCGTTACAAATGGCTGAAATACACATATTCTATAGACCTACTGACACATATGTTACAGACCTACTGATATGAGTCACAGCACACATAAACATTTCAGACATTTGTAACGAACCTGTGCTCCGTCGCAAGATCACTCACTTCAAACGCTATCAGTTTCACGCGTCTCGCATCTGTTGTCAGGATCCCATACAATCAACAAATAAATTCACGCCTGGATTTTTCACAAAATGAGCAAAGAGAAAAGTTCGAATTAACTTCCAAAAATAACTCCCTCGTTAAAAATAACTCCCTTGCCATGCAAATGTAAATATTCATTACCGTCAGGGTCGGATTTACGGTGTTCACCGCTGTATTTGTCCATGCGCGAAATTTGTTCCGGGGAAAAATCGAAACAATTTCAAATCTAACTTTCAGCTCAGAGTTCTATTGATAAACTTAAATCACCCTAAAGACATATCATACGCAATTGTATTGATACTGAATTGTGGAATAAAATTGAAGTGTTTGTTAAAATGTCAAAGTACAACTTTGTTTGCCAATCAGCACGCGACAATACGCTGTTCAAACTATTGAACGAAATTGTGTGCACTGTCGATAAGGCGGGCATTTTTAATTTTAAATGTAAATTATAAGTTAAAAGATAACATAAGAGGCAGAGAAAACGTAAATATAAGTATTTAACTGTTTTTGTATGGTATTTATGATCTATTTGAATGACACAGCTTTGCAAGCAAACAAATCATAATGCGCGCTAAAGCGAGTCAGAAATTATGGCCCTGACAATAAATTGACCTTTGACCACAATGTGACTTTGACCTTGAATGAGTGGTACGTGATACACACCCTTAGATTTTGTGGAGCTATTTTTAGAGAGTCGGTCGTTGTTGCACGGACAACGAATTCGACGTTTGACCTCCATGTGACCTTGACCTTAGGTGTACTAATATAACCCAATAGTGGTAGGCGACTCACCGCTTTGCCATTCTACATATATCCCTTAAGATTAATTGAACTACATCAGAAGTTATAGCTCGGACAAACATGTTCAGGTGGGGAATAGTGTATTCGACGTGGGAAACAGTATAGGCGTGGTTGGAAACAGTGCTTGCGAAGCTAAAAAAATCGTGATAAGGAAGTATGCAGCCAGGTGGGTAGCGGTGTAATTAAGTTGGGGAACAGTGTGTGCTAGGTGGGGACCAATGTAATATAGGTGGGGAGGAGAGCACTGTCGGCGAGATTGAGAGTAGTATAATCAAGGTTGAAAACGGTGATTGCGAAGCTTAGATCAGCGAAATCGACATTAGGAACAGTGTAGGCTAGGTGGGGACAATGTTTGTAGGATGGGAAACAGTGTATTCGAATTGAGAGACTGTGAATGCAAGGCAGAAAGTATTGTTATTAAGGTGGAGTACCGTATGTGAGGTTTCGAACGGTGTATGGAGGATGGGAAATAGTGTATACAAGGTGGGGAACAGTATATTTAGAATGGGGAATAGTGTATATGAGGTGGGGAAAAGCATATGTAGGATGGGGAATAGTGTATGTAGAATGTGGAATAGTGTATACGAGACAAGGAACAGTATACATGTATGTAGGATAGGGAATAGTGTATACGAGGTGGGTAACAGTATGTGTAGGATGTGGAATAGTGTATGTAGGATGTGGAATAGTGTATGTAGGCTGTGGAATAGTAAATGCAGGATGTGGAATAGTATATGTAGGATGTGGAACAGTATATGTAGGATGTGGAAGTGTATGTAGGATGTGGAACAGAATATGTAGGATGTGGAATAATATTATGTAGGATGTGGAATAGTATATGTAGGATGTGGAATAGTATATGTAGGATGTGGAATAGTGTATGTAGGATGTGGAATAGTGTATGTAGGATGTTGAATAGTATATATAGGATGTGTAATAGTATATGTATGATGTGGAATAGTATATGTAGGATGTGGAATAGTGTATGTAGGATGTGGAATAGTATATGTAGGATGTGGAATAGTATATGTAGGATGTGGAATAGTATATGTAGGATGTGGAATAGTGTATGTAGGAAGTGGAATAGTGTATGTAGGATGTGGAATAGTATAATGTAGGATGTGGAATAGTATAATGTAGGATGTGGAATAGTGTATGTAGGATGTGAATAGTGTATGTAGGATGTGGAATAGGATATGTAGGATGTGGAATAGTATATGTAGGATGTGAAATAGCGTATGTAGGATGTGGAACAGTATATGTAAGATGTGGAATAGTGTATGTAGAATGTGGAACAGTATATGTAGGATGTGGAATAGTGTATGTAGAATGTGGAATAGTATATGTAGGATGTGCAACAGTATATGTAGGATGTGGAATAGTGTATGTAGGATGTGGAATAGTGTATGTAGGATGTGGAATAGTGTATGTAGGATGTGGAATAGTGTATGTAGGATGTTGAATAGTATATATAGTATGTGGAATAGTATATGTATGATGTGGAATAGTATATGTAGGATGTGGAATAGTATATGTACGATGTGGAATAGTATATGTTGGATGTGTATGTAGGATGTGGAACAGTGTATGTAAGATGGGGAATAGTGTATGTAGAATGTGGAATAGTGTATGTAGGTTGTGGAATAGTGTATGTAGGAAGTGGAATAGTGTATGTAGGATGTTGAACAGTATATGTATGTGGAACAGTATATGTAGGATGTGGAACAGGATATGTAAGATTTGGGATAGTGTATGTAGAATGTGGAAAAGTATATGTAGGATGTTGAATAGTATATATAGTATGTGGAATAGTATATGTATGATGTGGAACAGTATATGTAGTGTATGTAGGATGCGGAACAGTGTATGTAGGATGTGGAACAGTGTATGTAAGATGTGGAATAGTGGATGTAGAATGTGGAACAGTATATGTAGGATGGGGAATAGTATGTGGAACAGTGTATGTAGGATGTGGAACAGCATATGTAGGATGTGCAATAGTGTATGAAGAATGTGGAACAGTATATGTAGGATGGGAAACGGTTTATGTAGAATAGGTAACAGGGTATGAAGGATGGAGAACAGTGTATACACGGTAGGTAACAGTGTATATAGGATGGGAAACAGTGTATACGAATAGTGTATGTAGGATGTGTAATAGTATTAGGATGTGGAATAGTGTATGAAGGATGTGGAATAGTGTATGTGGAATGTGGAAAAGTATATGTAGGATGTCGAATAGTATATGTAGGATGTGCAACAGTATATGTAGGATGTGGTATAGTATATGTAGGATGTTGAATAGTATATATAGTATGTGGAATAGTATATGTATGATGTGGAACAGTATATGTAGTGTATGTAGGATGCGGAACAGTGTATGTAGGATGGGGATTATGTGTATGTAGGATGTGGAATAGTATATGTATGATGTGGAACAGTATATGTAGGATGTGGAACAGGATATGTAAGATTTGGGATAGTGTATGTAGAATGTGGAAAAGGATATGTAGGATGTCGAATAGTATATGTAGGATGTGCAACAGTTTATGTAGGATGTGGAACAGTATATGTAGGAAGTGGAATAGTATATGTAGGATGAGCAACAGTATATGTAGGATGTGGGATAGTATATGTAGGATGTGGATTAGTGTATGTAGGATGTGGAACCGTATATGTAGGATGTGGAATAGGATATGTAGGATGTGGAACAGTATATTTAGGATGTGGAAGTGTATGTAGGATGTGGAACAGCATATGTAGGATGTGCAATAGTGTATGAAGAATGTGGAACAGTATATGTAGGATGGGAAACGGTTTATGTAGAATAGGTAACAGGGTATGAAGGATGGAGAACAGTGTATACACGGTAGGTAACAGTGTATATAGGATGGGAAACAGTGTATACGAGGTGGGGCACAGTATTTGTAAGATGGAGAACAGTGTATGTAGGATGGGGATTATGTGTATGTAGGATGTGGAACAGAATATGTAGGATGTGGAATAATGTATGTAGGATGTGGAATAGTATATATGTGGAATAGTGTATGTAGGTTGTGGAATAGTGTATGTAGGATGCGGAACAGTGTATGTAGGATGTGGAACAGCATATGTAGGATGTGCAATAGTATATGTTGGATGTGGAATAGTATATGTATGATGTGGAACAGTATATGTAGTGTATGTAGGATGCGGAACAGTGTATGTAGGATGTGGAACCGTATATGTAGGATGTGGAATAATGTATGTAGGATGTGGAATAGGATATTGTATGTAGGCTGTGGAATAGTATATGTAGGATGATGAATAGTATATGTAGGATGTGTAATAGTATTAG